CGGCGGCTGCGGGACCGACCTGGCCTTGGGGTGACGGGGAACGTGCTACGGCGCCCCTGTATAGCGGCCGTGACGCGATAACGCCGCTATCGGGCCCTTTACAGAGTATTCCTGAAATATCCCGGTGCCTGCCATTGTTTCTCTTACTTATCTGGGGCTATTTTTAGATAAACCTCCTCCCCAGGTCTGCGTGTTAAACTTACGCTGGGGGAGAGGGTGGTCGATGACCAAAAAAGGCCTCTTAAAATTCCAGGCGACCTAACGCTAAAACTGAAGTGTTCCTGCCTCAGGCTTGCCCCCTCACCTCATGTTTGTAATGTACTTAAGTGTAAAAACACTCCTTTTTTTTAAAAAAAAAATCAAATTCCTCTGATTACATCATTAAAAATCTCCCAGTAAATGGCTACACGCTTTCCCTTTTTTCTTCTGGACTGGGAAGAAGAGGCATGCAGAGGCTTCTTATGTCCATGTCATAGGCGCTGACTTAAAACCAGCAGTGCCCCGCGTTAGGAAACGAGCTGGCAGCCCGACTGGTACGGCGAACGCAGAAGTGGCTCGCGGCGGGAGCGTATGATGTAACGCCGAGGCCCGGTGGGTTTGCATCAGACTACTCCTACGTGGGGCTGCTGCGGCCTCCTATCGCAGCTCCTGTGAACTTGAATGACGTAGGATATTGTTTCCAAATGTGTGGCACAGGCTGAACTCTAGCTGGTCATTCCTGCATCAGCTGCTTGACAGCGACAAGCTGCCAAATATTTGAAGGCTCTAGTGCCCTCAGTTGCCTCTGTAAAAAAAAGCCTGTTCTTTGCCAAAGTGTGTGATGCGTTAGGGAAATAAAAACTCAGTCTGGTTTCTACTTAAATCATCTGTGGGAAACTTAGAATTTCGTGGATTTGTTGCCCAAAAGCTGTTACTGGATAGCACTTACGGCATTGAGCTGACTGCACATATTCAGAAACGGTGACTCGTGAGGAAAGGCACGTGAGTTTTTCACTCCCACCTCCCCTCCCCAATTCTTACTTTAACGAGATGATGAGTGCCTTAAATTTGCCACTGCACATTTCCTTAAGGATGTGTTTCTGTGCAGAACTAACTGAATTTTACTAACAGAGATGTGAAATCAAACTTTTCAGAAATGCTTATATGGTATTTACTGGCTCTTCCTACTGAAGACAGAATATTCCTGAAGTGTGTGAGGTCATTCTTTTCATCCTTGCAAGTCTCATCTGTCTTTCCTGGGGGTGGGTGGGAAGGAGATTCCTGCTATCCTTTGATCTGTTAGGAAGTATACGGACTTAATTTTTAGCACAGCTGTACCGTGTGTATACTTGGGAAAGCATTCTACATAAAGGAAAAAGAAGTGTCTTTAGGCTTTCAGATAACCAAGTTTCTTTGGACGTTACAGTCAGAAATCATGTTGCAATCACTTTACTGATCTGCTCTTCTATTACGGCTAATGTATAGGCAGGAGGAGCAAAGACTTGTTTGTGACAGCAATGAGAACTACGCATTCAACACGCAGGAGACTAGGCGTGCTTCCCACGGACGCGGTTGGGCACTTGCATAACTGTCCTGGCATCGGCTTCCCTATTCACTCAGTAGGTAAATGAGCTGAAAGGTGTAAGTCTCATCAGCCATCTTCCCCAATTTGGATGTCTTGGTGTGACCTCTGCTATGCTGTCAGGGTGTTACGTGTGTTTATGAAGGTTTTTGGTAAATGTTTTCCTCCAACTTTGTTCATAAAATAAGAATGACTTTAATTGCTGTCATTTGTGTCGTTTGCTTCCATGTGGCAAATGCTTAAATTACTACCCCTAACAGCCAGCAGGAGCTTAGCAGTTTTGAAAAGCAGTTTAAATACGCAATGTTTAAATGCAGATTTAGTAGCCTAATGTTTAATCCTACATTTTTGAGGCTCCAGTCTCAAAATGACCTTTGTCATGGCTTTGGTTTTTAGCATGAGAGATCTTTTTAGCCTAGTTCTTCAAAACAGCACGGTATTTGCAGTGTTTACTGTATTGTGTTGTAGGTGCAGAGTTCCATTATATGAATAACTTTGGATCTGTCAAGTATGTAAGAGTTTTTTGTCTGAGATATCAACTGATAGCTGTAAAAATGCCAACTCTGCGTGACACATCTCACTTCAAAGCTTGAGGCAGTCAGTATTAGCTGCCTTCTCACATTCTGTTTATTCTGTTTGCCTGCTGCATGGCCATCAAGAAATGCTGCTACGTTTCTTGTATAGAAGAATTGATATTTAATCAAAGGACCTGTTGATTTACTATAAGTTCTTCTGAACAGCAGAATGTGAGGATGGCATTGTGGAGGGCACATGCATCTGTGCTCCCCTTGCTGCCTGCCAGTCTTGAGTGCTAGGATCTGCTGCTTTGCAAGCAAGACTAATGAAGTTCAGGTTTTGGCGTTTGCAACCCTAGATCAGGTTATGTGTATGCAGCAGCCAGTTTTGTTCCACTCATAAAAGTGGGAAGCTGCCCAAGGCTACTGAGTCCATGTAGCGCTGAAATGCTAAGTTGGACAATGGTTAACTACTACTTAAATTTGAAGTCTAGCTGTTTAGGACTGGAGTAAATGTAAGCTTTGTTTGTTGAGACAAACAGGGTTGTTAAGCAATTGGTTGTGTCCTGGTAGTTGGGATCATACCATTATTGCCTTGAACAGAAATAAGTTGTCTAAGCAGTCTTAAGGAAATATATTGACCCTTCGAGTTCAGTCTTGTTTGTGCAGTCTTTCATGTTCAGGAACAGAAAAGCTATAGAATTTTGTAGCAGAATTTGTGTAGTTTGGTTAAGATTAAAAAAAAAATGTTCATGATCTCTTCATACATTCACACTTTCAGTAATCCAGTCTCGAAGTCCTGGAAAATAGTCACTGCTTCGTGAATGTCCGTTGGTTTTAACTTATGGGATAGTAGAGAAGAAGATGCATGAATATATATTTTTAAACTACTTAATTCAAATAGATTTTTAATGGAGCTTAACATGGTCAGTCTTGCTGTTAGTTGTCTGCTTTCATGGGACAGTAAACAGTGGCACTTGGCGAATTCATCCTAGCTAGGATTATTGCTTGATGCAGGACCTACCTTGTTTTGTGGGGGATTTTTTTTTTTTTGGGCTAGCCTTGAGGATTTAAGCAGAGAAATTACATTACCTGTTGTGAAAGGAGCAAAAAAAAAAAAAAAGATTGCAACTTACAATAAAGCTGTGACTCCCATGACTTGTTTAACAATCTAGAAGACATCTATCTTGTTAGCGTAGGAAGTTGAGAGCTTACTAGGTAATTCCAATATGGACTCTTTCTTATTAAAAAGTTGGTTAATGTATTTTGATAGGGCTTTAGCTGCTACTGTCCTTCGTTCTTCAACATCTGCTGTTAGCCATATATCATGAGAGGTGACTTTTACTTGGGAAAATAGAATAAGGTTTGTGAGAGCACAACTTTGACTATGAAGGGCCGTGGTCATTAAGGCTAAGCTTAAACTACAGCTTTGAGACGTCTTCTCAAACACATTAACATGCTGTGTTTTCAAGCCTAATAGTTTTAGCATCCACAGATCAAACACAAAATCAATTCACACTTCAGATATAAAAACGCAGAACTAAAATCATAAATAGTGGCAAACAATGTTTTTATTCTTAATTCAGATGAAGGATTTATTTTCATACAAATTCATACATTTCATAAACTTAGGAGTTACTTTTCTTTTTAAAGAGCATGTGCGCAGGGAGCCAGGCAAGCGTGAGGTTCGGTAGCACATCTCCTTCAGTTCAGGGCATGGTCCCTAGCCCAGACCTGCAAATTGGGATGGAGTCAGCCGGGCAGAATTAAAGTGTGCTCAATTAAACACAAACACCTGAACCCTTTCCTGACTTCATTGTCTGGGTATGGTAGCAGGTCCCAACTACTTGTTAGTCAGTGTTGACTGTTACCAGTGTCTGATTCTCACTTGAATTTTATTGGAAGCCTGTCAGCTGATGGAACAGTAAGGGAAGCAGTGAGATTCAGATGTGTGCGTGGTGCTTGTAGCTGTAGTTCTGGAGATGCTCTGTTGTCTTGTCTGTAACAGATAGCAGAGAGAATTCTTCTTATGTAGGTTTCAGTTATTTTTACTGTGAAGTTTCATTACTGCTTCAGGAGAGTAGAGCATGCTTGTCTTCAAAAATGTTTCTTTTAGGAGGTGTGATTTCTATGATGAGTCAAAATCCTTACCTGTTCATGATTCTGTGGCTGTAACTAGTTTAGCTGATGGGCGACATCCTCTGCTTGGCTCAAGTTTGATGTTGCCCAGATCACGTCAGTGTGGGGAGGTGACGATACCTGTGCACTATGCTTTTGAGCATTTCCAAGCAAAAAGACTGTTGCGTTAGATGGAGCCTCTTGGTACACACTGATTTCCAGCTTTGCCAGCTCCTGATGGCAGTGTGCCTCAGCAGAGGTAGCAGCAGCGTCGGAAGCCCTCGAGCAATCTTAAATTGCCGGAGGTATCTTCACTGCGTCAGAGGGGTCTGCTCTGGAGCAGTCTGAATCCAAAAGCTAGTTTTGGTGAAGGAGGCTCCTTCTCGTGTTGTTAAAACTTCCTCGTGCCATGCTTTAATAAACTGTTTGAGGTGGCAAATATTACAGACAGCTTCTGCTTAATAAAGAGAATGAAATCAAAATAAATAGATATTAATGATATGAAGATGGCTGATAGGAATTTACCCCCAAGTGATTTAGAAATAAGTGTTAATATTCCAGCCAAGCACTGAAGAGATTTAAGAGTGTGGTTTTAAAGGTGACATTCAAATGCTATTTTAGGAGGAGTGATAAATGCATGTGCTTTTCGTTTTGCCCTCTGCTTCGTGCTGTAGAAGGTCCTCTTGACAATGGCTACAAGAAGTGTAATACATGTGGTGGTATTTCCTCCCTAAAACCTGTCTAGGACAAACTGCCTTCAGTTGAAATAGTCTGGTCTGGCATTTTGCATCCAAACCGACGGAAAGCATCCCTTCTCCACAACAAAATGCAAGATGTGGAAGTACAAACTTGTAAATCTTCTTTACAAGTTGGTAACTGCGAGTACAGTCGCTACTAAACTATGACAGAGGTGCAAAAATAGTTATTTTGCTACATGGGTGGGCGTCTCTGACTACTGTCTTACGTGTCAAACTTTCAAATTCTGATTTTAAGAAAGATAGCATTAGGCTAGTTTTGTTCATAACAAACAGATGCAACCAAAATCTCTCCAGTTGTTATGGCGAGAGGAAGGGGGGCACATTCCAGAACATGCCAGTCTTCATGTGAGAAGCCTGACTGGGAACTTTTCTGAATCTACTCTGTTAATGTGTGTTCCTTTTTTTTTCTTTTTCCCAAGTCCAAGTGTGTACCTTGGTATGTTAGCATACATTTTTTTTTTTTTTTTAAATGCCATTACTAATTCTCCTGAATGAGTTTTCAAGATTGTAATTCTGGAGAGAACAAAACTTGGTTGTGGTTCTAAAGTGCCGTAGTTGCAGTAAGTAGCGTCATTGCCTGGATGAGTAATGACCTGTGACGACTGTGTTCCCTGTTACCATCGTGAGAGAAATTAGGATATGGATTGAGAAATCTACCCTATCACAGAATGAAGCTTTTCAACTTACTTTTCTTACAGAAATGGAGCGTATAGTTTTGCTTAAATAAGAAAAGGTGATGTCTTTCAGTTTACAACTTCATTAAAGGAAGATAAATTGTGTGTTTAAAAAAAAAAAACAACACAACTATTTTTTTGGCTTCCTAAGAGTGAATTGCATTTGGTATGTTTTAGAGGGTCACCTCCGCGTGCGTTGGAAAAATCTCTTGTCCGTATAACTTCAGTCTGTCGTAGGACTTTGGTGCTTCTGCTTGCTCATCTGATTACGCCGCTCAAGGGAATAAGGTTAAGGACACGCTGTTGGTAACTAGAGCGTTTTCAGGGCTTTAGTTCGGCAGATGGGCTGCTTGGCTATATTCATACATCTGCCTACCTGCTGTGGCAGCTGCTGCTGCTGCGTGTTGTGTTCTTTTGTTCTGTTCCACCCAAGAAAGGAGCACTAGGAAGTGTAGTGAATGGATTAATTTAAGGTTAAGGCTAGTGTTTTGCTTGCTTCCTAACTCTCTCTCATATTAAAGCTTCTGATAAAGCTAATGAATCCTTCGTAAAGAGAAATTGATTTTTAAAATGTATTTCAGAGGCTGAAACTAGTTAGCATTGTCTAAAAAAGAAGTCAAGTGTTTTCTTTATGTTGCCTGACGTTATTTATTTCAATATCTTCCTCTCTTTCTCCCCCCCTTCCCCCGCTTTTTCTAGGAGCAGTAACCAGACTTTGCCTGACACTGCGTGGTCTGAAAGAATTAAGGAAATATGGAATGACATGAAGGAGATTAGTTGAGGATTAAAGGCTTTGAGGACAAAACACCTCGCCGAGGTGAAGCACAGACTAGCATTCTAGTTGTAGCTCCGAGGAGCTGTGTGCTGAAAAAAGATGGCAGATCCAGGAATGATGAGTCTGTTTGGAGAAGATGGGAATATTTTCAGTGAAGGCTTGGAAGGTCTTGGAGAATGTGGATATCCTGAAAATACAGTAAATCCTATGGGGCAGCAAATGCCCATGGATCAAGGATTTCCCTCTTTACAGTCATCTCTTCATCATCCCCCTGCAAATCAAAATCAAGCCAAGTTGACCCATTTTGATCACTATAATCAATACGAACAGCAAAAAATGCACCTGATGGATCAGCCGAACAGGATGATAAGCAACGCCCCTGGGAATGGCATCGCGTCTCCTCATTCACAATACCACAACCCTCCGGTTCCTCAGGTTCCTCACGGCAGTGGTGCTGGTGGTCAGATGGGAGTCTATCCCAGCATGCAGAATGAAAGGCACGGGCAACCCTTCGTAGACAGTGGCTCCATGTGGGGACCACGGGCAGTTCAAGTGCCAGACCAGATCAGAGCGCCGTACCAGCAGCAACAGCAGCAGCAGCCGCAACCGACACAGCCGCCGCAGGCACCCTCCGGACCCCCTGGGCAGGGCCATCCTCAGCACATGCAGCAGATGGGAAACTACATGGCTCGTGGTGATTTTTCAATGCAGCAGCACGGCCAGCCGCAACAGCAGAGGATGAACCAGTTTTCTCAAGGCCAGGAAGGCCTCAATCAGGGAAACCCTTTCATTGCCACCTCAGGACCTGGCCACTTGTCTCATGTGCCCCAGCAGAATCCCAGTATGGCACCTTCTTTGCGACACTCAGTCCAGCAATTTCACCACCATCCCCCTACTGCTCTCCATGGAGAATCAGTAGCCCACAGTCCCAGATTCTCCCCTAATCCTCCCCAGCAGGGTGCTGTTAGGCCGCAAACACTTAATTTTAGTTCTCGGAGCCAGACGGTACCCTCACCTACTATAAACAACTCAGGGCAGTATTCTCGATATCCTTACAGTAACCTTAATCAGGGATTAGTTAATAATACAGGGATGAATCAGAATTTAGGCCTTACAAATAACACTCCAATGAATCAATCTGTACCAAGATACCCAAATGCTGTCGGATTTCCATCAAACAGTGGTCAAGGACTAATGCACCAGCAACCCATCCACCCCAGTGGCTCACTTAACCAAATGAACACGCAAACTATGCACCCTTCACAGCCTCAGGGAACTTATGCCTCTCCACCTCCCATGTCACCTATGAAAGCAATGAGTAATCCAGCAGGTACACCTCCTCCCCAGGTTAGGCCTGGGAGTGCTGGCATACCAATGGAAGTTGGCAGTTATCCAAATATACCCCATCCTCAGCCGTCACACCAGCCCCCTGGTGCCATGGGAATTGGACAAAGGAATATGGGCCCCCGAAACATGCAGCAGAATCGTCCGTTTATGGGTATGTCTTCAACACCACGGGAGATGGGTGGGCACATGAGACCAAATGGTTGTCCAGGTGTTGGCCTTGCGGATCCACAAGCAATACAGGAGCGACTAATATCTGGCCAGCAGCTTCCTAGTCAACAGCAGTCTTTTCAACAGCAAATGCCAACCTGTCCTCCCATGCAGCCTCATCCAGGGATTCATCATCAGTCTTCACCACCCCCACATCCTCATCATCAGCCTTGGGCACAGCTTCACCAGTCACCACAAAACACACCACAAAAAGTGCCTGTCCTTCAGGTAAGCCGCTTCCGATGAGCAGAAAATGTTTTAAATTACTGTAAATGCGTTTCAGGATACACAAGATCTATGGTTTCAAAACAGTTGTTCCTGTTTGACTCTCCTGTTTGTTACTGGTTACATGGCTTTCTTTGTGGACAGAAGCTGAAAGTAAAACGAGGTTCGGGTAGCTTGCTAATGTCCTGACAGTAATTTTTACAGGATAACGTTATGGATAGACCAAAATATGATACAGCAACTGGACAAGCTGAATACCTACTGTTTTTTTTTTTTTATGTTGGTTTCTCTGGGGGAAGAATGGAAAGCATGTGTGAGAATTGTCATTTAAGCTATTAATTTCTGTATTTGCAACTTGAAGAAAGAAGTGTGTGTTATAATGGGTTTGTTTTGGACAAAGCGAGGGTTTTCTTTAAATCCTAAGGGGATGTTTTGTGGTTTTAAGTTAAAGCTGAGATTTTTTACATGTGAAGAAAATTTCCAGGATGAGCTTCTTCAGCACTAAGTAATGCAGCTGAGGAGGGATGGGGCAACAGTTCATGCAGGGAGAAGACAGCAGATATGAATCATATTCTGAAATCAAATCTTCTGAGGCTTAAATGAAACCACGAACAGGGTAGAAGTTTTATTTTACCAAGTCTCTGATGTGCTGGGTTTTGGTAAAAATGTATTACTTCCACGTCACTCTTCAATTAAAAGCTAAAAAACGGTAAAACATCTTGATCCTCTGTAGTTTAGCAGGTTTGACTACGTGTTAGTATGTTAAGCTTCAGCTGAAAAAGTGCCTTTTGGGATCTTGTCACTTGCCATTGCTTGCCTCTAGCTCTATCGGCAGTCATTCAAGAGGTTTTGGTACTGAACGAATAGGTGGTCAAGATATCAGAGGTTCAATTTTTTATTATTATTTTAAACTCGTCAGTAATTAATGCCAAGTGTCTCTGCCCATAAATATTTGGAGACAATTGTTGGAATGCAGTCATAATGATAACGATGCTACAATAAGCTTAATAAATCATCAAAACAGCTGTCCTAGGCAGCGTTGTGGGCCTGTGCGGAAAGCAGCTGCTCAGCAGTCCCCTCCGCTGCTGCCTGCCGGCTGCTTCTGTTGGCCGCTCCGCACAGCGTGAGGTGGGTCTGGGAATCAGATGTATGCGCTGCGGAGAGGCAGCTGACGAGGAGTGGTAGATGGAGCAGCTCAGCAGCTGGGAGAGGCTTCCACATTCCCTGTGGAAGCGAGGAAGGGGGAGTGCTGGAGGGTGCCATAGGGTGGGGAAGCCCTGGGAGGGATTAGGCTGGGTAAGGGGGAGGACACTGCCTTCCTGGGAGGGAGGAGGAAGCTCTAGTCTCAAAGGGGCAAAAAGTATCTTCAAGACCATCTTTCTCTCCCATGTCCCCCCTAATTAAAAATTAGTGTGAAATTTTATACCTTTGTTGGCCTTTCCTCTCCCTTACTCCACACACAGGCTTTGTTTGGAGAACCTAAAATTACAGTTAGCACATACAGGTGGAGTTCTGTGTTCCTTCTTGAGAGCGTAGCTCTTGGCA